CCACGCCATCCAAACATGATTAAACTCACTATTCTAACTACAGCGCATAATTCAAAGTGGTGTATTTACCCCCTTGAGCCATTACCAGTTCAAACAATTCTAACCAGGGAAAAACGGATTTAAGCTTGCAGCATCCATGAATATATTCCAAAGTTTAAGAAATATAAACAGTGTCAGCATTCATTGGTTCTCCTGGTTTGGAGTCAATAACAGAACCGATAAGCATCTAAAGACAGTGTGAGTGAAGAGAGTAAAAAAAAAAAAAAAAAGTATCGACCAGTTTATGAAAATGCAGGATTTGACTCAATCATGACTCAAATAACAAATCACACCGAATGTAAGTATGGTTCAAATGCGTTGTTTTTAAATAGCTGCAAACATGTCTCATTTGGGAGTATTCTACATGTACTGTGCAAAACATCCGACACCTACTCACATCCTCTTTGAAGCTGTTTTTTTTTTTTTATTCTTATTATTTGGCTATCGACCTTGATTTATAAAGTTATAACAAAAAGATAAAAAGTGCGGCAGGCCACTTAAAATGGTCAGGATGAAGACTATTTGTCAGGTTTTACTTTGTTCATAAAATTTGTAAAAAAAAATGTTTCTCGAGTCAAAATCATTGACGCGTGACATGTCTCAATATCATGCAAGGCATCAAAAGGACCTATTTTTTGGGCCTAATCAACATGCGTTCCACACTGCATCAAGTGCTTTTCGACAAAAACGTTGATTGTTTTAAAGAAAATAAAGAGTGACTGACTTCTTTTATCAGTCGTATGGCACAAATGAATAATAAAAAGCATGATGCGTGAAGTTGACTGTCTTCAGTGTGCCTCTCGATCCGCTTTTTTTTTTTATGTTGCAGTGAGTAATTTACTTTTTTTTTTGAATTTTTGTATGGCTTCTATTATTCTTTGTACACCGTTAAGAATGTTACTTTAAAAAAAATTTTTTAAAGGGCTGACAGTATGATAGTGACAATTTTGACGCTTAATCCAAATGTATGCGTGTCGGAAATGTTTTGGTGTCACGAAAAATATTTCAGATACAATTAAAGTATTTTTAACGCATGCTACTAGCCTTCTCTGCTAACACCTTTATGCACTCCTGGAAGGATTCTTACAGAATCCTCCACAGCGAGTGTTGTCAACCATGTCTTCATAACAAGTCCCCTTGATGACCTCTTTGAGCTTGTAAAAGAGGAGAAAAACAAACAGAGCCAGGTGAGGGGTGTATTGAAGTTGCTCCTACACAACAATGTGCTTATCTGCCTGGAACTGTTGGATGCTCAGGATAATATGAGCAGCGAAGTAGTCCTGCCACAACTCTCACTTCTCCTCACACACCAAACGAAGCAAACACAGCAGGATCGTTTTGCAGACATGCTTGTTGATCATCTGGCCCACACAAAACTCACGGTAGGGTTTACTTTGAACTACTGTATATCTTTTGTGACACCAGTCAAGGGACTTTTCTGACACACCTTGTGCTGCAGTTAAACTCACGGGGATCAGTTGACTATGGGGTCGAATAATTTCTATTTCAATGAGTAAAATTGTTCTGAAACATGGACAAATTGAACTGATTGGGACAGAACCTAACTAGACTTTATCACATATAAACGGTGAATAACACAATTTATAGTATTTAATAATGCACTAAAACCATGTACAGTATGTGTAAGTATTTATAATGCCAAATTATCATTAAGTAGTAAGTAATGAGTAGTACAAGTGACAATTACATTGTGATTATTTCTGTGATTTCAGTAAATCTGTTCTTGTTTATAGCTATATTCTAGTAGTAAGATCTTAAAAGCAAAGCAAACATCACTAAAACTTTTTTTTTCTGGCAATAACACTTCTATTACCAGTTAGCATGTCGGGCTAATGACAGCTGCTGTTATTCTCTGGCAGGCGGCCATAGAAAAGTGATGTGTAAACATTTGACTTTCTCAAGCACAACTAACGAGGTTAAATTTACAGAGGTTAAGTAGCGAATAGAAAGCCAAGTTTAAAAAAAAACGTGGGTTGAGTATGAATGGAGGAATCGGGGCACCGGGCAAGCGTACTGACCTGCGGGGCCCAACTGCTGCTGCTGTCCGTCCTCCCCGAAGATGAGTCGGAAGTCGAGCTCCTCATTACCGGGGCAGTTTGCCGTCGTCATCGGGTTTGACAGCTCGGCTCACTCGTCTCTGAAACCCCCCCACGCCGCCGCTCGACCGTCGAAGCAGGTTTACGCTTTCCGAAAACGTCGCAACATTTACCGAGTGGCACGACGCCGACGCTGAACTTCAACTTTGCTTCATTTGGCGCTTGAATCACACAGTCAAAGTGTCCTTCGTTACTTCCACAAATCCAAAATAGTCTTCTAATTTGGCCAAAAACAACATTTAACCTCGGAAAAAGTCGCCGTGTATGCCACTCTTCCTCCAAACAAATAAAAAGAGTTGTCTCCCGATCGTGTTTGACTGTTCGTCGTAATGTCAGCGAACGGTCGGGTAATTTGTAGCCCGGTTTCGCTGCCTCTGCGCCGGCCTGACTTGTGTGTCTCTCTCGCCCTGTGGAGCTCCGATCCCAACTTTTACTAACCCCGCGTGACAAGGCACTTCCAGCTGTGATGTCAGCAGACACAACACACACACACACACACACACACACACACGCACGCACGCACGCGCGCACGCACGCACTCACGCACTCACTCACTCACGCACGCACGCACGCACACGCACGCGCGCACGCGCGCGCGCGCGCGCGCTCGCGCCACACGCACAAACACGTACGCGCGCCCGCGCTTGTTGCTGTGTACGACTGCTATGCCAACTCTTGAAAATGGATCACACTGGTCAACACAACAGGAAATTTGAATCAGATGCCTTTAAGTGCCCCGAAATGTATTTCTGGATAGGATTAAAAAATGTCTCAGCACATCAGGATCTTTTTTTTTAAGTTTGATTTATAAAAGCTTGTGCAATACGACTTTACCATGCATTGTCATTTATAACGATGAAAAAAAAACACCTGTTGATGAACGTAACCCTCATTCATAAGTATTACCAACTCTATTTAGCATATTCTTCTTCTTCTTCTTCTTCTTCTTCTTCTTCCGCATATTATTATTCTTATTTTTATTCTTCTTCTTCTTCTAATTATTATTATTATTATTGTTTTTATTATGAAAACCTGAAGTGCAAAGAGAAAAACGAGGACAGATTCGACATCAGCGCAAAAAAAAAAAAAACATTTAGAAAAGTTTACTTTAATCTCCAATGAAGATAAATATTGTAAAAATTACAATTACATTTTAATTACTATAGTTTAAGGTATCCAAAAAAATCTACTTAAAAATACAATCGAAAATATATTGCTGTCCATTGGTAATCCTTCACTGATGTAATTTAATCAACAACCAGCAAGTTTTGATATATTGTTCACATTTTTTCTGTTTAAACAGCCAGTGTAATTATTTTTCATCAGGGTTGGACAATTTTGTGCCCAAGGGCCACATCTGATTTTTAAAACACATGCACATTGAACCAAGTCATTCCAACTAATAAGGATTAAGAAAAATAATCATGAAAAAAATTAGATAGATAGATAGATAGATAGATAGATAGATAGATAGATAGATAGATAGATAGATAGATAGATAGATAGATAGATAGATAGATAGATAGATAGATAGATAGATAGATAGATAGATAGATAGATAGATAGATAGATAGATAGATAGATAGATAGATAGACTCCTTTGTAGCCCTTGTGTTTGCATCATACCCATCAGTTTCTTCAAGCTCAGGTTAATCTTCACTGGGGGATCCGGCGGCCATACACGCATGCACATACTCACACAGGCAAATGCACTGTAAAGCTCTAATGAGTTGTTTCGAGGCCTTAAACATCAACGTGTGTGTTGTTTTGTGCATCACTGTGTAAATGTGAGTCATGTTTGCATTTGATCAAGAGGTCTGCTGCTATCAGATAAGCTCTGCAACAAAGCTTTAAAGCTATTTCAGGCAGTCATAAAAATATAATGATTGAAGGGTGTTGTAGTAACTTTCTATAGGGTCAATTAAGGTGGTCCAGTGTTGATTAAAAAAAAAATAAAAATAATTTTGCAGTACAAAAAAGTATAAAGAGTACTATGCTAAAGTATCAGGCCTCTACTAGTTTTGTTTTAATTTTCTTCAATCTTTTTAGAGCATTAATTTTGACACTTAGATCCAATTAAAACCAATTTCCACACAACATTGTCTATGGATGGTGGATGAAAAAAGGAAGCAAATTGTGTCAATTCAGATAAAGGATGCATGGACAGAGGAATATATATTTTATGTCTTTCCAATTGTGTCACAATGACACCAATGCAATCTGTTCATCTCCCTCCTGTCTGTCCATAAACCTCCATCAGCCAGGAAGTAGATGACAAAGTCATGAATATTTGGACCAACAGACTTTTTATTTATTTATTTTTTACGTTTATCAACACTTGAACCCAGGCTGTGGGGTGCTGAGTGATATTCTAGTCATTATGAAAGTGCTAAAAATGCATGCGTAGTAGACAGCACCCGCTTATTTGTGACACCGTTGCCAGATGCATGTGGGCGTTCAGTGCACAGAAGACATCTGAAAGCATCAATATCACGTTTCCTGTGGTCTTTTATTTCCATGCAAAAACATCACCATAACCCGTACTCACGTACAGTCTATGTGTAAGCTTCTTGAATTGTTCGCAACTCCTGCAAAACTCTTTGAATTGTTGATCCTTGCATTTGTACTTGTTGAGAGGCCATCTTTTAGTAATACTTTTCATCAATACAGGTATAGTAGACTCCATCCATGTTCTAAATTTATAGTTGATAGCAATGTCCAAAATCAGGAAGCGTCAACAGTGTTATTCAATTGTCCAATATTATTAACATGAATAATTGAAATCATGTAAGAATTGACATCCAAGCATAAACGGTATTTTGTATTACAGTAATACTGTACAAGCACTGTTTCTGAGTTGCATTTTCCTTTAAAATTCATACTTTTACTATATAAACTATACTTGACTACTCTGTTTTCCTGTGAGCCACTGAAATGCTATCAAGCTATTTCCGAAAGCTGTTTCACATCTGTATTGCATTTTCTTTACCAACTCAAACATCCATATACTGTATCCATTTTCAAATCGAGTCTTCGAATTATCCTCACGAGGATCTCGGGCGTGCTGGAGCCTATCCCAGCTGTCTTCGGGCAGTAGGCGGGGGACACCCTGAACAGGTCGCCAGCCAATCACAGACCAACTCAAACATTTACAGTGTAAACAAACAAACCTACCGAAATATTTTTGCTTGGCTTTCCTCTTAGTCGCTGATATTTAGCTGTACATGCAATGTTTTTGAGAATTGCTTCACATGTACTCTCTTGCAGATGTGAAAATGGTGCAGTCCAAACCAAGCCTTGTTGCACAAACTGATGAAGCCTGTTCAGATGAGAGGAGAAACATCTAAGACAACCAGACTAGTTTAGGCGCGAGCGATTCAGTGCCATGAGAATGAAATGTCCTGTATGAATGACAATATTCATCGGCATTAGTGTTGCATTTGTCTATACTATATAAATCAGCATGTATTGTATTGTATTGTATTGTATTGTATACAAACTCATGTATTCAGTGTATGAATGAAAAAATACTGGAATACTTTGCTTTCAGGTGAATCCTGAACTAATTTAGTTCTATAAACACTGCTTCAAAGATCTACTTTACATATATATTGGATTTTTCAAGTCAAACTTTTACTGCATAAATCAAACAAAAAAAAAGTTTGAATATTTTGCTTTCTAGTGGATCACCAAATTGATTTTTAATTCAAACAGCATTCTTTCTAGGAACTGCTTCACATCTGCGTGCAATGGGGTCGACTAACTACTGTCACCCGTGGAAAGCCAGTCAAACCCATGCAGGCCGAAAGGAAACATTTAATACATTATTTTTCATGTTTTGATGGGAATACAGTTTGGATTTTTAGCTTTATTTACTTTTTTTAAACACTGCTGTTATTCTGAACATAACTGCACACACACACACACACACACACACACACACACACACACACACACACACACACATAAAATAATGAAAAAAAGTATGTCTAATTTATAATATTTTTGTATCCTACTTTGTGACAATCACTTGACAGGGCTTGCACTTTCTCCTCTGCGTACACACCCTAGTCACATTTCAATTATACCTGCACCTGTTATCTTCATCTTCAGATGACCTTTAAAAGGAGAAGATAACAAAGGCAATTTGTGTGGGAGGCTTTCGATGTGGTTTGTTCTTCTTGACGAAAAACACAAGCAAGCTGCATCGTTTCCCCATCTCACACAATTTTTTCGGGTGCGCTTTTGAGGCATCACTCTCCTTTCAAGGATTCGCACTCACACACATGGTGCAGAAAAGCAAACGTAAGCACCTACGCAACAGGTGTTTGCTAAATGTCAACAAATATCAAGTTACATGCAGTGCTGTATTAGAATGTGGACAGATACAGACTCACCGAGGCAATAAAGCACGGGTAAAATGATTTGTTGAAGACATCTAACAGAGTGCAGAGAAGAGTTTCACTCAATCTTGAAATGTGGTCCCTCGGACCCTCACAGAATCCATACACATGAAAAGACGTTGTATATTCCCACAATGTTAACATATTTTTTCATCAAATATGATGAAGAACACAGTAACACAGTAGGTGTGAATTTAAGTAAATGTGAAACAACACCCTCCTCCCCCCAAGGCCTCATGAGCTCTTTGGGAAACCCCTCCATCCCTCCATTTTCTTTATCGCATATGCTCGGCAGGGTCAAGGGTGAGCTGCAACTTATCCCAGATGGCTTTGGATGGGAGGTGGTAGGAGTGCATCCTTGGCTTGTCACCACTCAATCACAGGGACCACACAGGCAAACAAGGATACACACTAACATTCACAGCTAAGGACGAGTTAGAATAATTGGTGAACGAGACATGCATAGTTTTTTTTTTTTTTTAATTTAGGAGGAAGTCAGAGTACCCGATGAAAACCCACGCAAGCAGGGGGAGGACATGCAAACTCCAAATTATGAGGTTGGAGCCTGGATTCAAACCCCAAACTTCAAAATTGGAGGAACCATTCATACACCGTACCATTATAAAATATATCTATGTGTAATATTTGTAAATATCATCATTTATATTTTGTCAAACACTATGAAAAAAAACTTATGGGTTATTTGGGGAGAGCAAATTTCGATTCTGCTATTGAATACAGGGACATAGAGTAAGTGCACTGAAGAGTTGTTGGTTTGTGCTTCCCCTTAGTGGTCAGATGGTGAAACTGTTTGACGAGCAGGCTGAAGGCCCGGAAACGTGATCATTCAAACATCAGCAGATACACCGTGTATGTCATGAGTGTGATCAAGAGTTTTCCTTGTTGGCGTCCAGATTCTAACAGCTACAACATTAATTTGCAACGGACTTGATGATACTGATAATCAATGACCGGCACTGAGTTCATTCAGCAGACCAGCTTGTGTACAATCAATTCTACAACAGCCAGCAGCACATAAATGTGATGACTGAAACATGTTGATGAACACATTCAGGAGAGTAACTCCCTTTTTGGACCCCTTTCTCTGGATACAAAAGGGAGATTAGTGACCCGTTATGATTTTAAATGCCCAATGGCACAGCAGCAACACTGGATTATCCCCCTAGGAATCCCAGGACAGGCGCACAATAACAAACCGACTTGGATGCTTTCATTAGTCGCGAAAAAAAGTTAATAAAAGTTGACTTTAGAATGTTCTCATTACAAAACTGCAGGGTCACTGCTTGCCTGTCCACAGTTTATTGAGAATTTTTGACATTACTGTACGGTTTAAGAGTTGTTGGTTCGCTTTATTAATATTGAAAACAAACAAACAACAAACAAACAAACAAAACACAGCAGTGCTGGGATAGGTGGAGCCTATCCCAGTTGACTTTGGGTGAGAGGTGGTGTACTCCCAGGACTGGTCGCCATTCAAACACTTATACTGTATGTAGACACGCATTGTGTGTTGTGAGTGGTTGCTGTTGTTTTATGTTGTTATTTAGTTATTTGTAGTTGAGAGAGGAACATGACTGGAGTAAAACATATCAATTAAGCAAAGAACTGCTGAATTCAAAGCAAATAGACTTTAGTTTGTGTGATTTTATGTGCTCGAAATGTCATTGACTCACCTAAAAATCGATTTTTACAAAATTTTAAATAATTAATTCCAACTGTTTTTAGTGTTAAAACGCGACTCTTTTTTAATTACAGATACGCGATTTATAGTTAGCTTTACATTCAAAGTTAAATTATTATTTTTTTCTTATGCGTTTTCACGTTCTGAAATCCTTTTTTTCAAAGGTACGTGTAACGTCATCAACACGCGCCATCCCATGCCGTCATCAACAATCGCCAAGATTGCATGGTCGTCTCGTTTAGTTTTTTTAATGGCGTTTCGGAAGCACATTACCTTTGTTTTTTGGATTAATTAATGAATATTCCCCGGTGGATTCACCGCCTTGTTTTATTAGGTAGGTCCATGTTTTTGTCACGCTTCTTCGTTGCAAACTTTTTAGCCGCGAGCAGGCTCGAGTTGACGTTACCAGAATGTGGTCTCTGAAGGTCGGCTCCTCGGCACTTGCTTCTTCTAGAATTTACAGGACTAAAATAAACAGATTCTCGACCGATCTTGTTTATTTTTCGGTCTGCACGGCCTCTCCGGAAGAGATCCCCGTCATTCGCGTTCCTTGCTCCATACAGAATCGCTTTGAGAATGTGAAGCAAACCCGGGGTAGGAACAACATCAACACCAGCAAAGCTGGTAAGCTTCTCATCCAGAGCAGAAACGCTAGTTTGAACCAGTCTGTAGGATACACGCACGCAAAGTTTGACGAGCCTACACTCTGCTCCAAAGGATGGAAGCATAAAAAGTCATTCGGGGATTATTTCACAGTCAACAACATCAAATCTGTGGCGCCTTTTGTGTCTGGAAGCGGGCAGGGGGAGGATATTAAAAAGACAGTGAAGACCTTCCATAAACTGCACATCTCCAGTGAGCTGGTGGAGACTTTGGAACGCTTAAACATCACTCATCCCACCACCGTGCAGCTACAGACAATCCCCAAGGTGATGAGGGGTCACAACATCCTGTGTGCAGGGGAGACAGGAAGTGGGAAGACGCTGAGTTATCTGCTGCCAATTGTGCACAAGTTGCACCTGGATGAAGAGATTTATGAGGAGGGGTCTCATAAAATCCACACTGTGGTTGTGGTGCCCTCCAGGGAGCTGGCTGAACAGGTGGCGTCTGTGTCCAGGAGCCTTTGTGCCCCATTGGGCAAGGTGACGAGGACGGTAGGAGGCGGGCAGGGCGTGGGGCACATCAAGGGGGTCTTCAAGCAAGGGATTCCTGACATTTTAGTAGCCACTCCTGGCGCTCTTGTCAAAGCCCTGCGGAGACGTTGCTTGGACTTAAGCCATCTTCGCTTCCTGGTAGTGGATGAAGCGGACACTATGTTTGACCCGAGCTTTGCCGATATGCTGGAGGACATTTTGCGGCACACCGAAATCGCCCGCAACCCGGGCGAGACGCAAGGCCCCGCACGTAAGGCCCAACTGCTGGTGGTGGGTGCCACCTTCCCTGGCGGGGTCGGCGATGTCCTCAGCCGGGTGACGGATCTCGGCAACATGGTTGTTATCAAGAGCAAGATGCTGCACTTCCTCATGCCGCACGTGAAGCAGACCTTCCTCAAGGTGAGAGGGCAGGATAAAGTACTTGAGCTCAACCATTATCTGAAACGGCTCCAGCAGGAACATGGAGCATCAGGAGGGAACGCCGTCCTTGTGTTCTGCAACAAGGCCTCCACCGTCAACTGGCTGGGGTATGTCATTGAAAATCTGATCTATTATAGTACGACTTATTTCACTGGTTTTCCTTAGCCTTCAAGAGTGAACCACTGGAAAGATGCAATTGGCTGAATTAGAACTGGAATTACTAACCACTGTGTTCTGGCACATTAGTGTGCCATGAAAGATTGAATGTGCTGCGGAAAATCCAATGTAATTTATTTGATAGTATTGTGGACCATAGAGGATGAAATCCCTGAATTATATATAAATACTGTGCAGGTTATTTTATCTTTGAAGATTTATTTCAGGTATTCTTGATCTCAGGGTGAGTCTTTTTATTTTCCACAACAGGTACTCCCTGGAGGAGATGGGGGTGCCACATGCTCGCCTCCAAGGGGAGATGCCGGCTGTGGTTCGTGCGGGCATCTTCCACCGTTTCCAGAAAGGCACGACCGAAGTTCTCCTCTGCACTGACGTCGCCTCGCGAGGCCTGGACACGTCCCGGGTCCGCCTGGTGGTCAACTATGACTTCCCGGAGTCGCACACGGACTACATCCACAGGGCGGGCCGGGTGGGGAGGGCCGGGGGTTGTGAGGGTGGCCAGGTACTAAGCTTTGTCACACACCCGTGGGAGGTGGACCTTGTGCAGAAGATCGAGATGGCGGCACGGAGGAGAACTAGTTTGCCTGGTATGGAGTCTGAGATACGCGAGCCAAAACCTGTCATAAATGAGACACAAGAGTTGAGGTGATGGACATTACTCTTGGAAAAACCAAACCATACTCTGTTAATAATGCAGTAAATGTCCACCTAACTATTTTCCATTACAGTCGTTAATTTATGATGGTGAAAAATCCCCAAATAAATGTTTCTTCCCCTATGATATAAATCAGGATGTATTGTATTTTATTGTATGATGAAGTTGCACTGCGCGTGCTTAACCACTAGATGGTAGCATTTATCTGACTTCCGATTGCTTAGTAGACAAAAAAAAAAAAGATCAGGTTAAAGACCATCCTTTTTTTTTTTTGGTTTTTTTAAATAAAAGAAGCGACCCTACCAGGGTCATTAATTAATGCTTATTTTTAGGGTGTGTTGTGCATTGTAGTGGTTTCTACATTCGTGCTTCAGAATCACTTCTCATGCTGCTAATTATACACTTTCAATAGGCACAGGCCCTTACCTGAAACCTTGACTTGATGTGGTGCGTGCGCACTCCCCATGAAGTCTTAGATTGAAGGGAATTTTTAAAATCTCTTTTTTTTTTCCTGACTCTTTTGCTGTGGGTAGCTTGATGAAAGGTAACGTGGCGGCTGACCAAGTTAAACTCTTTCTGGCCTCCTTTTACGTGGAATGTTGCCACGCAGATTATGGATAACGCGCAGTTGACGGGAATGAATCCAAATCTAAATCTTTTCCCGGAGACGTCTCGCTCCCACAGGTCACATTTTGGGGTGGGGGTGGGGTGCTGCTGGTGGGAAATGTGGAGATTACGGTAGCAGACAGATGTGTCAACATGGCGCTTCCATCAGAATGTTTGGAATTTTACTGGGATTTTCACACAACTGTTCCCTTCCATCTATTAACTGCATGACTAGGGGGTATTCTTTGCTACTTTTTTTCCCTCTAACTGAAACCAAATGAAGTACTGCATACAAATATCTCCATCAAGAACTTGTCCACTGGCTAATCAATCACTTAAAGTTTGTTTATATAGCACTTTATAGTAGAAATAAAATGCAACTGAAAGCGCTTTACAAGACTTAGAACAGTTTTTGATTAAAAATAATTTGTTATTTCTATGCAAATATCTTGATTTATTCTTTTAAATGTAAATTCATTTTTACGTTGTCAATAATTATGTAATTATTAGAAAAAAATTATTGCAGTTTATCAACTATCACAAATACATTTCACTATGAATTACTTCAGCCAAGCCTCAAAATATATTGTTTTTCTCAAATAATTTGGGGGGAAAAACAATTATTATAAGAGCAAGCTATTAAAATGTTATTTCATTTTTTGCTTCATATACACCTGTCTTTCAATGCATATAACTTGTATTTTAATGTTGATTAAATCATGCAGAAATGCGTGAAAGACATTTGGTATATTCGATCTATTCATATAATCATTGACACGTAAACGTGTCTTCCTCAAAAATACATCTTTTCAATTATTAAAACGCAAATACAATAATTAACTTGTGCAACAAATATTTCACGAATATTTTAAATAAAAAAAGTTCAAAATATAAAGTTATTAATTGTTTCAGATAGCGTTCAGTATTTTTAAATGAATAATTACATTTGAACAATTATTTGAACGATTATTGTAAATTGAATTGCAAATCTATTAAAAATTAGTTCATTGAAAATTGCAATTCATGGATGTTATCGACTAATATTATTCACGTCATTTATTTAATATAGAATTGATATATTGTTCTAATTTGCCCCGCTGACAGTGTGTGGGAGTGGCTGATTGGACTACAATGCGTGGTCCATTTAAAGTGACGTATTTCCTTTTGTGCCCCCACTGGAGGATCTGCTCCCCCTCCCCTTTTACGCTCAAGCACTCACGCGCATTACACACTCTGTCCCTACATGAACACACACCATTCCGGCCACTTGGAAATTTCCCATCACACCGCACAGGATATTATTTTGCCGCTAAATCAGCGGAACTCTCCGCCACAGTGCGCCCTGCGATGCGCCAGAGGAGCGTCTGAAGGTAGGTTGCTTTTTTTATTTATTTTGTTGTTGCAACATTGTAATCCGATTACCTTGGTGCACATCTCTCCTGCGGCACACGCCGAAAAGCCGACTGACCTTCTCGAGCTATCGGCGCTTATTAAACGGAGAAGAACCAGCGCCGCGTGTGCGTGGCTGCTGCTGTGTTGCGTGCGTGTGCATCGACCGGTGAAGTTGTGTGCTCCCAACACGCCGAGATGCTTCGTTGAATCGACGCGCAACTTGTGGAGTCTTGATACCTACGAGCCGGTCCCTCCGGCGGCTTCACCGGTACGGGCTGCTGCAGAATGCCCGCCGAAGCGGCGTCTCTGGCGGCTTTTGTTTGGAGAGTTGTCCGAAGGAGTGGGTGGCGTGGGAGGGTGTTGGGGCAAATTCGAATGCGCGGCTCCTCGCCATGTTAATGTACGGGGCGAAGCATGACTGAATGGATTGTTTGCAACTTTGTTTTATGACCCCACCCCTGGCCTATGCAATCACCAACCCGAATGAATCATGTTGGATCCTCTTCACTTCATTGTATTCCTTCTTTATATCTCCGATAGAGGCTGTCTGTTGCATGCTATAACTGTCCTATGAGGGTGAGTGGCGTGTACATGCGTGGATTCAGCCTGCAGCCTCGCCATGCACGTTTGATTCCATGGCTCCACTGCCACACCCCTTCCCGTAGAGCAGCCTGCTATGACTCCATCATGCTTTGTGTAGTGGTGTGTACAATCTGGTCAATATAGATCATACACTTTTATGGTGCAGGTTTTCGCAGAACGATGATACTTAGGCGCTTTTCATCGTGCAGGTTGAGCTGAGAATTAAGGGAGGTCAATAGAACTTCCTTTGACCTCACTCACCTGGCTGCCTGCACGGGAGCCATCTAATTGAGGGGTCACCTGGTTCTGGCAGGCCAAATAAGTATCCGATAGCCCTATTCTAAAATGAGTACACCAGTGAGCTGCATTTAAGTTTTTTTATTGCTATTTTTTTTTAACATCACACTTGTATTTTGAAATGACAATATTGAAAATAACTTGTAAACGGCCATCCCTCATTGTTGTCACAGTTCGCTTTATTGCCGTTGCACTATATTGCAGCCTAATTTTGTTTTACTTATTCTTATTTATTTATTTGCTAAGGATACTTGGCCGCCAATGCACTTTCAGTCCCTTTCTTGAACAAACGGTAATAAAAGAGAAACGTAATTAGCACATTTATGAGCTGTCGATGGTCGCAATTTATGCCAAGTTACTCAAATGTGGAATGGCTAATGGTTAGCCACTTAATAGCCAGAGCTATCCTCGGCCAGCTCTACACTGTGATTGGCAGACACTGACATCACTCAACACACCAGGCAACACGCATTTGATCACAGGTGCTACAGTAATGTGAGGATGAAGACCCCAAGAGGACATACTTGTAAATACTACATTCACCTCAAGTGCATATTTTGTATTTGTATATACAGTACAATATAATGCTTTAAAATAAAATAAATGTTTGGTCACTACCTTGCGGATTTTTAGCTCTTCTTATTAATCAGTTCCAAAGAAGTTGCTTTCAGTTTGAAAAAGGTCAGCGACCGCTAATTTAATTTCTGTCTGTTCTGGAAACTCACCATGCAGTGAAAAAAGGGTCATTCATGAAGGACTGACAGCATTGCTTTTGCCTAAATCCAAAATATCAAAGAAAGACATGGACTGCTGCTTAATATCAAATTTTCACAAATTGTTGGTCTAATGGGATAATTCCCAGTCATTTTTTAACTTTCTGCCATAATATCAACGTGAAATACCAGTGCACTTGCTAAAAAAAGGTTTACTGTTATGACTTGCGAGATTATCAGTAATCCAGGTCATGGCAAACCATCAAGGTTGAATGGAGGCAAGTGGACCCCTTTTGTTTTGGGGTTTTTTTTGCGCGCACACACACACACATATTCAACATTAAGCGTTACAGTTACAAAAAAAACTATTGCTGAACTTTTGAAGATGTGTGGTGACGTATGTGGAATGTTTCTACATTCATATATTCAACTTTGTCATCCACACAGAGGCGTGTTTTTGGATGAAGTGTTTTTCAAACTGCAGCTGAATAAATTGGGCCTTTTATTTGATAAAGCCTGGTCTGAATGCGGTCTGAAGACATGTTTCTCAGAGTGGAGAATGAATTACGTATTGCATATTGTTGTGGTGGCGCCAAATGTTTGGCCTTCAATACTTGGAACGGGATGGGAGATAAACATTTGCAAATGACTCAGACTGTTTTTGAAATTTTTTTTTTGTCTTTATCTGTTTCCATATTACTTTTGACTTAAATGAGGAAATTGCCCGATTTTTGACACAAATTGGTTGTACTTGCAGAGGGCAGCGGCATGGAAAGTACAGTAACCCATGGAGGGGGGGGGGGTGTCCCCAACGTGTGGGCAGTTTATATTTAGAAATGCCTTTTTGTAATAGTCTTTCCCCACAAAATGTGATGAGGGGCAATTTTTTTAACCACCTGCAGAACATACCAGACATCTTTTTGTGTAGTATGTTATTCGTACAGATGCATTTCTTGCCTAGTTGCAACATCCTACCTCCCCCCCCTGGTCACCATGATGACAAAAGCAGCTCTTTAATGGCCGAGCAATATTTTGAAGCGGGGTTAACAGTCGCTCTCTCGCATGAGACAAAGTCGCCCTCTCAAAACAGTATAATTTTTGCAGGACAGGAAAAAGGATGTCAAGTGTATTACCATTCCTGGGAAATGTATTAGAAAAAAAAAACAAAAAAAAAACGCACAATTGATTTTGAAGTTGATGTCACTTAAGTTATTTTCCAGCGCCGGCTAATCACCTGTGTTGAAAATTTCCTTGCCGTCTCTTGTAGTTTAATGTTGGCTGTTTTAGCATACAGCTCCCTGTCCATTAACTTCAAGTGGCCTAACTATATTGGACGTTCTTGTCAGCCAGGAACAAATGAAGAGCTTTTTCATTACCTTAGCACTGATCCATGATGGCTTTAGTGGTCGTGAGCAGTAATGTTATTTGCCACTTAAATTTAATGTTCTCAAAGCGGGACGCTGGAACAAACACCGTTCTGCTGTGGCGTAACTGTTCACATGTTTAGTGCTGAAATCACCAGGTAGACGTGAGCGTCATCGGACTGTAAAACGACCCAGTCGATTTGTTTATTGATGCGCCTCGGGTGGGTGAATGACCTCTAGTGAGCATGTGTGAAGGGGTGTGGTCTCGAACTCCTCGTTAGACGTGCGTGGCTTATTTATTGATTTTTGGCCCTGCATAAAAACAGGCTTTAGGAGAAGGAAGTCAATGATCCATAGTGTTCATCACATATAACATAATGCACGTGACTCTGAGAGTATTGAGCCTTACGATCACGGTGATAATAATAATAATAGTCAGTCCAATAAGAAAGGAAATGGTCCTCAGAACGGGGGAAACTGTAATATATATGGACGCTTGTTCAAATGAGACATTTTTCTTTTTAAGAATCCAAATAAAAGGTCTTCTACAAGTAGCAGGGTTTCATCAGTGGCAGGCATGTCTGCTTCACACAGGCTCACAGTTTTGAGGGTTGGAAGATTTTCGAACTGAATGCCCATCAAGCACAGGCACATGCGCCCATATACATTTGGATGCCACTTTATAAACAGTTGTCGACTGGTGGGGGGTTGTAAGGGCCCCCCACCCTTCTGGCCCTCCCACACAATAGCCTCTGCAATTTGTTGTATTTTATTCACGAGTCTTTTGAGACATGAGCCATCTTTGGACAATTTTAATTTTGAATAGCGAGCAAAAATTGGAGTTGGGTGTGCTATCTATGGTGGCAACGAACTTCACATCAAGCGACAGTTGGCCAGATGGCGAACAATTATTCACAAATGAGGGCAAGTGCTTGCTTAAAAGCTGTTTATTGCTGCTCTCTGTTCAGGTTTTCTGTACAGCTACATCTAAAACGTTGAGACGTTTTGTATTTAACCGAACCACATCATTTACTAAGTTTTGCTAGCTTAATGCTAATATACAGTCCGAATTGAGAACTAGCATCAAATGTGCAGCAATTATGAACAACTTGTATTCGAACACAAGCCCAGACACACATGCCAACGAGGTATATAGTACAACAGTACTCAAAGGAGTATATACCGTATCTTCTGCAAAAAATAACTAACAGTATTGCAGCTTATATGCTATAGTCTTCCGTGTTACACCATGTACGTGTCATATCGCCGTATATATTATACCGTCCCCAGTTCAGGGTGAGCAGCACAGTGCCCCTTGACTTATCACGATACACAGGATAGGAAGCCGCCTAGTAACACGTGAATTTAGACTTGAAGGCAGTGTGGATTTGTGCCTTCAACTAGACCACGTACTGTATCTGATACAGTTATTTAAAACAACTTGACAAGAAAATAAAAGAAGCACTTGACGTATTGTTTCAGTTTGTATCATCAAAGTTGATAAAAGGTAAAAGTAAAGGCGGTGGTCCCACTGGTGAAATACTGGCACTGTGAGATGAATGACAGCTATGTTTTGCTACTTTCTGGTGTCTTCTTTATGGGCTTTCCAGAATTATTTGTCACATGATCTCTTCCAGCTGTCTGGATGTATTTATATACATAAGCACCCCTGCGCCCCCCCCCCAAAAAAAATCCTTATTTCCCTCCTAAAAATTGCTCCAAAAAATCATGTTGTTATTGAAATTAAATTTTTAAAGCCCCCCCATAATTAATCTAAATTACTATTTATTTGTTAATTTATTTTTTCCACTTTTGAAAAATGTTCAACTTGCCTCTGTTGAAATGAAGTGCACACGGCCAGATTTTTTTCATTACTGTACCATATGTATGCGCAGTATGTGGACTGTTCGAGCGACAAGATATGAAAATGTAACCACATGTGGATTTCTTCGTCCTTACTTCAACTATATAATTGCGAGTAAAAATATTTGCCCAGTTAAAGCATTTTTCTCCAAATGTGAG